AGCGTCATTTTCTTTGTGGAATTAATATCAGTTTGCCCCCTTGGTCCTGCAGTGAAGTTTCAGAAAGTTTTGGGGGCTCTTTGAAATTAATTATATTCTGCGGTCCTACAGTGAAATTTTCCCTAAAATATTTTATAGTGCACGTGCTCTGATAATCAATCTTGAAGCTAGAAGGGAGAATGAACTGAGGATGAGAAGTGCTATTCAAAGGGCGCATGGGGATTCTAGCATAAACAAAATTGAGAAGTTACGAAATGCGTATGAAAATAATTCACAAATTGTTGTAAGGAAGTATGGTGGCCAAGAGGTAGAAATGTTAGATAAGGAAAATGTAGATCCAAAGGAGTTAATAGCTAATCGAGGGGAAAAGGCTATAATGGATCCGGGGGATACTAATTTGTTGATTAAGGAAGATGATCCAATCCAATGTACAGATATGTATATGGAAGTGGGAGTGGCTTCCACTCTCAATTAGTGTTGTTTGAGTACTTTTGTTTGGTTTGCTGTTTCAGTTTTTTGTTCCCTACTATGAAGTTTTTGATCCGGAATAGCAGAGGTGCTGCAAGCAAAGGTTTTGCTGCTGCACTTAAAAATTTGAAGAATAAATATAAACTGGATATTGTGGTTATTCTTGAACTACGTGTTAGTGGAGCTGTGGCTGATCGAGTTGTAAAAAGTTGGGGGTTCAGAAAATCAATTAAAGTAGAGGCAGAGGGATTTTCTGGAGGAATATGGGTGATGTGGGACCTTGGGGGTATTATTGTGGAAAGTATTATAATGGATGAGCAATTCATCCACTGTAAAGCAAAAGAAGGGGATGAGGAATGTTTACTTACGGCTGTATATGCCAGTCCAAATGAACAAAAAAGGCAGCAGTTGTGGAGAAAATTAAAAAGCTTGTCTGAAGGTGTTAGGGAGGCTTGGATGATTGTAGGAGATTTTAATGAAATCAAGTCACCTTTGGAGCCAAAAGGGGGCGGAAGAATAAATGAAAGTAGGTGCAAGAAAATTTGCAGAGTGGATTCAGGAGTGTGAGTTGATTGATGTAGATACTATGGGTCCCTACTTCACCTGGAAGGGGCCAAAATGGCAAGGCCTAGACAGGGTTTATAAAAGATTGGACAGATGTCTCACTAACTTGACTTGGCAGCAAGGTTTTGTAAATGCAGAAGTGAAAATAGCACCAAGGGTGTGTTCGGATCATCATCCAATCTTTGTTAACTTACATCCTGAAATGTTTTCTAATAGTCGAAGGGTTTTTCGTTTTGAGGCAACATGGCAACTTAATGATCAATTTCAGCCCCTTTTAAGGAAGTGGTGGAGAGGGATGGATGAAACTCATAAGAAGTTATTGAGATTGCAGAATGACTTCAAAATTTGGAATAAGGAAGTGCTTGGAAGGATAGAGGGAAGAAAAGGGAGGTTAATAAATAGGCTCTATGGGGTGCAGAATTCCATAGATCGTAAAGGCAATCCTTTTTTGATACAGCTTGAGCGAGATTTGGAGAAGGAATTGATTGAGACTTTGAAAAAGGAGGAATTGAGAAAAGTCAAGATAAGTGTTGAAAGGTGAACACAAAATACTATCACACAAAAACTCTGATAAGAAGAAGAAGAGTATTGGAACAGTTGATTGAGATGAAAAGGAAATTGCAAGTCTGTTTAATGACTTTTATGTGAAACTATTTACAGAAGAAAGAAAGGATAGAGATTGGGTTGTAACAAAGCAAAATTGGGGAAGGGTGGAAATTTGTGAACTTGATCGGATTTGTCAACAAATAAGTGATGATGAAGTTAAAAAGGCTTTTTTCCAGATAGGGTGTTTTTAAGCTCTAGGGGAAGATGGTTTTCCACCTTATTTTTATCAGCAAAATTGGGACATAGTTGGTGACTTATGACAAATTTGATGAGGGAGCTATGGAGAAATCCAGAAAGAGTGAAAGAAATTAACAACACTTTGTTAGTATTAATATCGAAGATGGAGAAGCCTAAGGTGGTAAGTCAGTTTAGACCCATTTCTTTGTGCAATGTGTTATATAAGGGTTTGACAAAGTTAATTGTTAACAGGTTAAAGCCCTTAATGGAAAAACTTGTTTCACCTCATCGAACAAGTTTTGCACCTAAGAGAAATATTCATGATAACGTTATCATTGCAAAGAGATGGTGCGTTCTATGGGAAGGATGAATGGAAAGAAAGGATATATGGCTATAAAAATTGATTTAGAAAAGGCATATGATAAAATGTCATGGAGTTTTATTGAGATGGTTTTGAAGGAAATAGGGATTGACGAGCATGTGATTAATGTGATTATGCATTGTATTAGCACTCCTACAATGGCTATAATGTGGAATGGTGAGAAGAAGGATATTTTTTCTCCTTCACATAGATTGAGACAAGGAGATCCACTTTCTTCATATTTGTTTGTTTTAGGTATGGAGAAACTGACATATATGATAATGGATAATGTGAATATTGACATATGGAGGCTGGTCTGGGTGGGAAGAAGAGGTGTTGTTGTGTCACATCTTTTATTTGCAGATGATTTATTGCTCTTTTGCGAAGCAAGCCTGGATCAAACTTGCAATGTTCAGGAAACTCTTGAGAAGTTTGGAGAAGTTTCTGGGTAGAGGGTAAGTGTACAGAAAAAAAAGCATTTTTTTCTTTCAGAAATACAGAGAGCAGAATGAAAAATGATATTTGTAGTTTAACTGGGTTTAAAATGGTTTATGACATGGGAAGATATTTGCGAGCAAATATTACTAAGGGAAGAAGTGCTAAATAGAAATTTCAATTTCTAATTGATCGAATGTAGAGCAAGCTTAGTGGTTGGAAAAAAACAGTGCCTCTCTTTGGCAGGGAGGTTAACGCTAGTGCAATTTGTTACAAATCAGATGAATGTGTTTCACATGCAACATTCACACATACCAGTTGGGGTAAGACAAAAGATGGAGAAAATATAGAAGAATTTTATTTGGAATAATGATGAAAACAAAAGGAAAATACATGCAATTAGTTAGGATATATTGTGTACTTCAAAGGAAAAGGGGCGTTATGGTTTGAAGGAAGTAGGAGTGATGAATGATGCGTTGTTGGGTAGAGTGGGTTGGAATATATTAGCATAGCCTGAGAATCTGTGTTCAAGGGTTTTGAGAGGCAAATATGGTGGGAATGCAGATTTGAAAAGGGAGTACATTATAAAAACTTCAGATTCTGAAATCTGGAAGAACCTTGCTTGAATATGGCCCCATATAACTAGCAATCGGAAATAGGAAGTGGGGGACGGAAAAAATGTGAATTTTTGGAAGGATTCTTGGTTGAAGGAAAATTTTTGTTTAATAGATAATTGTATGACACAATTAAGTGAAAGAGAGGTGAGCAGGAAAGTTTGCGAACTGGTAAATGAAAGGGGGGAATGGGATCTTGTAAAACTAGAGGGAAGGATTTCTAGTGAAGGGAGGAACTTGATCCTTCCAGTGCCTCCTCCAAATGATGCTTATGGTTGTGATGAAATAAAATGGGGATCAGCGCTATAGAATAGTTATGTTGTTGCTGAAATGTACTAGAAAATAAAACACGAAGCTGGTATGAATGATGTTGTGTGGAATAAAGTCTGAAAGTGGAAGGGACCTAGAAGGGTTCAAGTGTTTACGTGGATTGCCATACATAATAGATTATTTACTGCAAAGAGAAGAAGCAGAATTTTGGGTGGAAGTGCTCTCTGTTATAAATGCAATAATGAGGAGGAATCTCTCATGCATGTATTGAGGGATTGTAGCCTTGCAAGGAGGGTTTGGATCCAATTGGGTGAATCTGATTTGAATTCAGATTTTTATAAACTGGATGGTAAAGAGTGGTTCATGCGGAATTTTAGTAGAGGTGAAAAAGGGTTGATGATTGTGTTTGGGTATACTTGTTGGCTACTATGAAATTGGAGGAATAGGAGTATATTTGAGGTGGGATTTAGGTGGCCAGAAAACCCAAAATTGATAATTGATCATTATGTAAACGAAACTTTGTTTACTTTGGAGAAATATGATGGTATGGGGGAGAGGAAACAGGAGAGAAATATTGGATGGGAAATGCCCATGGAGGGATGGATGAGGCTTAACACTGATGGAGCAGCTAAGGGGAACAATAATCTTCCAGAATGTGGCGGGCTGATTCATGATTGTTGTGGAAGATGGTTTAAAGGTTTTGCAAAAAAGTTGGGGTTCGTGCTGTGCGGTGAAGGCCAAAATTTGGGAAGTCATCACAGGGTTAAGAATTGCAAAGGATTCTGGCATTAAATTTTTGATTGTTGGGTGTGATTACATTTCTGTTGTTAATATTTTGCATAGGTTAAAAAGAGGATAAAGTGGCTGATTCTAGTCTATTAGCAAGTGTAAATGTTAAGCTAGATAGTTTTGAACAAGTGAGGTTTAAACATGTGTATAGGGAGTGCAACACTTGTACTGATTGCCTTGCAAACCTTAGTTTTGAGATGAGTAAGATTGTTAATGTTTCTCAGGAACCTCCTCAAAAAGTGAGAAATTTGTTGCACAGGGATGTTGCAGGGGTTGCTTACCCAAGAATGATAATGAGGTAAGCTTAGGCCCCGTATTTTTCACCAAAAACATATATTTTATAGTACAGTTTTATTCTTAATCTTAAATTATTAATTTTTTCAGAAGTAATTGTCTTGTTATAATATCCCAGTATTTTTTTATACGCATTTGAAAAATTACTTGAGCTGTTAAATCAAGCCAAAATATTTTAAGACAGCACATGATACTATTTTTATTTATTAATATAAGAATTAATTGATTAATTTAAGTAGATTAAAAAAATTAGTTATGGTAGTTATTTGTAATAAATAGATATTGTCTTTTTTAAAATATCCTTACTAATCAACTATATTAGTTAGAATTACTAATCTTAATCCCAAATAAAATTATCAAGCTCAGTATTTTCATTGGGAATAATATAATCGTTTCTTTAATTCTGTATGTTTGAATCATTTTTATCGTAATAGACGCAGTGGTGCAGTGCGGAGGGCTGCGTGAGCTTTGGTCATGGCTTCCAACTCTGCATCAACGGCTTCGGTGTCCGAAGAGGAGCTCACTCTGACAGTGAAGTGGAGTGGTAAGGAGTACACCGTCCGGGTCTGCGGTGACGACACCGTCGGCGAATTGAAGCGCCGAATCTGTGAGCTCACGAATGTGTTGCCCAATCGCCAGAAGCTTCTCTACCCTAAAGTCGGTTCTAAACTCGCCGATGACTCTCTCTTGCTCTCGCAGCTTCCCCTCAAGTCTTCTCTTAAGATGACCATGATCGGGTATCTATTTATCTGCCCTTTTGTGTTTATGATTGTGAAACTTATCGATGATAAGGAAGTTAAGTGTGTGAGTCCCAAAAAAAAAAAAAAAGGAAGTTAAGTGTGACTTGAAATATGGGCAATAGCTTAATTGGTTTCGGGGTATTTGATTTTATGGCCGAAGTTGAGAGATCAAAGGAATGTTCACAGTCTTGTTTCTAGCATGTTCTAAAATGCGAAGCTTTTGTTCAACTAGTGGAGAATACCAATACCCTTTCGGAACACATTTTTTGCTTATAGACATGTTGGGAAAAATGGTTGAACTTGCAGTACTACTGAAGAAGATATAATTGTTGATCCAGTGGAATCGCCTGAGATTGTGGACGATTTTGAGCTTGGTCAAGAAGAAGTTGTAGACATCAAAGACATGGAAGTGAACAAGCAAAAATTGAAGAGACGTGTAAGCCAATACAAGGTAATTCCCTAATGATCGGTCTCTTTTATATCCATAAGTATCATTCAGTGTAATTTTTTTCCTCTTTGCTGGGTCGTTATTTGTATTGGCCCCTCCGTTGGAAGGAGGGTCAATGTGTAAGAATTATGTTGACTTTCTACTATCTAATTAACTTGTTTCGCATCAAAATTCCTAACACTGTCACCATGATACTGGCGTTGAGAGATTTTTCATGTTTTTCCGCTCAAAACTTGTGTCACGTACTCCGATGTTATAATTTTGCTTTAAGTACAATCATCGCAGTATGCTCCAAGATGATGAGGCTGTTTATTGGGCGGGGACGTGTTCTATCAGCTCTCTGTTATGCCCTGTTTGCCAAGGATCTTCAATTTATTGTTTATTTCGCTTATAGTTAAACGTGAAGCCGTAACTTTGGTTTAAGCTCGGAGGCTGTAAAAATCGAAGAAGTCAATTGTTGTTGGAAATTGTATCAAGTTCTCAATTTGTGTAGCTTCATTAATCATCTCTTTAGCACAATCATTTCTTTACTATAGATATGCTGAGGGACCTTAAACAATTTGATGTTAATGCATTGTAAACCTGTACTTTATATCATCTAATGCTGCTAAGGGGGTTGCGTCAGATTTCTATCTCTCACTGACACACATGCATGCATTTATACGTAGAGGACAATGCATAGATACACCCATTCACAAATATTCGGCATGTACTTCAAATTCCAGATAATAGGCTACCTTACTTAGGCAAACTTGGAGGCAAACCCTGCTATCCACCCTTCATTAGATATTTGATGGAACTTTGTGGAAGGGTTTCTGGGTTTGAAATTGCAACTAGAATATTTAGGGTTTGAACTTGCAATAGGAAACAATATTGAAGCTTTAACTATAGGTGTTTGGATCTGAAATTGTGAATGGTACAGTTAGAGCATGAGACAAATTCCATCATGGCTGTCTGCGTCAAAATCATGTGTTTGGATTCAGAGATTCACAAACTGAAATTTGCGAGAGAAAAGGCTTTGAAGTGAATGGTGGATATTTGCAGATGGGTCAAAGTACGGGGGTCTTTAGGCCATTTTATCTGTATATTTAACTTCATGCTTTAATGCTAGAACATACATTTTCAAATTAGGAGAGCTAGCTGGTGATTAGTTTCAAGACGACTGCATCTCAGAAAGGAGGTGCGAATATAGATACTGCTATCTATCAATCAATAGTGATGCCGTCATTCTATTGTGACCCGTGATTAGGCAATATGCTTTGTTTGCTTATCAAGCACCTTGTGCATGCTTTCTAGATGAAATTGTCCGGCATGGCTGCATGATTGTCAAGCAAGTTTGGATAATTGTTCAATTCCTCCTCAGTAGTCCTCCTTTTAATGCCATTTGTGGTGTTTTTTTCTCATGGGTTATCTTCTATTACAGATTGAGCTCCGAAATCCATGTCGGAAAGGGAAGAAACTCCTTGTTCTGGATATTGATTATACCCTATTCGATCATAGGTCAACAGCAGAGAACCCCCTTGAACTTATGAGACCTTGTGAGTGGTCAATTTATGGCAAGTTTTTGCTTGGTTTCATCTTTTTTCTTCTTAACATTGTTTTCCTGAAATGGCTCTTCCTGGTGTCATCTTCTGCAGATCTTCATGAGTTTCTTACTTCAGTTTATTCAGAATATGACATTATGATATGGTCTGCGACAAGGTATAAATAACTATTATTTCTTTTAAATTTCCTTTGGGAGAATAACCATGGAAGATACATGGTGGTGATACTAAACTATAAATGACGTCCAAATAAGTGCACGCAAAAGCCAACACGTGATGGATATTTAAATAAGCTCTTTTTATTTTATTTGTTTATTTATTTATTTGTGGTGGTGTACTTTCTTGCAGCATGAAGTGGATTGACCTGAAAATGGCACAACTTGGGGTTTTGGACAATCCTAATTATAAAATCACTGCACTTCTTGACCACATGGCAATGATCACTGTCCAGTCAGCTTCTCGTGGGGTCTTTGATTGCAAACCTCTCGGTTTGATCTGGGCTCATTTCCCCGAGGTATAAATGTGACCTATTTTCTTGCTGGAAACACAACCATGTTATCTTCATAAAGTAGTTGCAACCTGTCTTACACATGCTCATCTCCAGCTAAAGAGAATAGAAAGAGACCTTAATAAACTATAGCTGGGTTGCCATCTTTCTGAAAACCTGGAAATCTTTATTTCATGCTTGAGGATGACTCCGAGTCAGCAAACCGATGTGGATAAGATCACTATGTATTATGTGAATTATAGCAATGGCCAACAATGATTTAAATTGCTTGATGGTGATTTCCTATTTCATTACAGTTCTACAATGCTGCAAATACCATCATGTTTGATGATCTTCGAAGAAATTTTGTGATGAACCCACAGAATGGTTTGACTATCAGGCCATTCAGGAAGGCTCATGCTAATAGAGATAGTGATCGGGAGCTTTTGAAGCTTACCCAGTACTTGATGGCCATTGCAGAACTTGATGACTTGAGCAATCTTGATCATAATAGTTGGGAATTTTTCACAGAAGACAGCACTAAAAGACGTAGGCACACATAAATTTATCCATTGCAAGTAACCACAAAAAGAGAAGGGACAAATGACTGAAAGGAAAGGAGCTCTTATGGAAGATATGTTGTACTTTTGAGTTTATTGATTCTGCTGATATAATTTCTGTTTGTTTTTTTGTTTATTTTGGGCCAACTGCTTATATAACTTCAGCATAGCAGTTTGTGAAACAAAATTTACTACTCTCTCTTATTCTATTTATGACGACTCCTCACGATCCTTTAAATCAAATTTAAGCTTTTCAGTTTTCAAAGGGCTTGGATTGATTTGATCTTTTGATGATCATTATCGTTAAAGGATTGACTTCTGAAATGAAAATTTTGGAATCCAAAATACACTTCCGGTCCTTAATATAAAATCTAATTCTTGAGTTGGTTTTGATCCTAAATATAGGATCCATTTCTCATATTTATCAATTTTCTCTAAATTATCATTACGGATATTCTCTCAACCATAATCAAGTAGAAGAGGGAGATGTGGTATTAAGAAAGATAATTATGATATTTTGGGAAAAATATGTCATTTTTCTTATAATTAACTAACTTATATAATTTTTTTAATCTAATCAAATTAGTTAAATAAGTCTTATATTAAAGACCGGCGGAGTAATAACTTATTTAAAAGTAGATGGAAAACGTGAAGTCAACTTACGTCCCTAAGAAATGATAATGTCCTGCAACATGTGCTTACAATTATTCAGGAATTGGTAGTGTTTGTAGAATATTAGGACGATAATCCAAATCAACATCCATATATATAATAAAATTTTGTTATTCTTGACAGTCCTGGTGATGTGGTGGATACTCTGAAAAACTTAGTAGGTGTTTTTTCCTCCCGTTTTTGTTTTGTTGATGAATAAAGAATTGTAAGGCGTTTTGCCCCTTTCTTACCAACGAAAAAAAAAAATATCCTTAATACACATATATATAGAATAAAATCATTTCCTGGATCCCACCTCCAGATAGTAGATCATTTTTTTAAAAATAAACATCAATTGTAGTAGTGTAAATAAAATGATTAAAATACACAAGGTCCTGCCATAATCCACGGTGAAAATTATAGTTGGCTAAAAATACAATCAACTTGCCACGTTGAAACGTAAAAACGTACATCTAAGATACAAGAATTTATAGTAAATTTTATTCAAATGTAAATTATATATTGAAATAATCAACTTGCGAGCTGAAACGCCCGTATTGAAATAATAACAATAGTAATAATAATATAAAGATGTTCATGACAATGAACTAAACTCTTAATTTTTTTTTTTTAAAGTTTCTCAAGTAACAGAAATATTTTGTTAAAAGATAAAATATAATACAAATGTTATAAAATGTTGTACGCATTATGTAGCAGAGTCTGTAAATAAAATCATATACGCATTAGATATGGATACGTTTACTTCTTTTTTGAAAATATTGGCGCTTCATTCTTTCTTTTTTTGACCAGCAAATTGGCGCTTCATTCGCCTGCACCGAAACTGATGTCCACATGAGCGAGGAAATAAATATTATAGGTAGGTAGCAGGTACATTTAATTATCTCAACACTAGGAGACAAGATCTTCCGAGAAAACATGAACTTCCTCAAATCATTTTAACAAACACTAGCTTAATATAATCCATACAGACAATGCACATCCATATTCCATACAACCCTAAAGATACTTCGCTGCTTACATTAGGCCGAGTTTTCCACAAGCATGAATAAATCACAACAGAAATGGAGGATACACTTCATGAATAAACATACACTGGGGATGTTGAATTACCACCTCCGGCAAGTCATCTGATAGGAAAACCCAGATCAAAACATGATGAGATTTCGGCTGTGACCGCCAGGTGCCCATTAAAATTCATATTAATTTAAACAAGCTAACGGGAAAGACCAGGAAATGCCTGAAATAAGCAAAGCGGGCAGAGAGAGGATGCCTACACTGGAAATCTCTGCAGAATCCCGCACAGTGGAAATATTCAACTGTTTTGATTTGCAGCCGTAGCAACATCTGTTGAATGTAGAGGCAGAACACTGCAATAGCTAGAGTGCAGATTTAACTACGGACTGGACCTGTCATGGGGTCACGCCCTGAGTTGTTGTCTTTATGTTTTAAGGAAAGCTTTGAAAATTGGGAATCAAGGTCTTTGCTTTTAGTGCGTCGGAGGCTACCAGATGGTTGCTGTTGCGGTGTTTGTTGCGGCTGCTGCTGATATAAAGCACGTAATCTTGCAATCTCTCTTTCTAGTACTTCCTGTTCCACTGAATTGCACATTATTTGTATCAGTCAATGAAACAAATTCCTTAAACACCTACACTCTGTTAAAAAAAAAAAAAAAAATCAGTCTACATCTGATGAAACCAATTACGGATGAAAAGAACTTGAGCCCAAAATTCAATCTTACGTCTTCTAGAAGTCTTGCGTACCTAACTTCCATCAATTTATTAGATTGGGTCAGAACAGGAGGCAAATAAATGAAAGTAGTAAATACTGAGCATTTGACAAGGTTGCCAATAGTAAATTCATCCCACATCATCATTTGCTCATGTGGGCAAGGTTGTGTGGGATAATGGACAGATCTGGCCAATCATTGCAGGAAGCTGCAAAGGAATGGCCAGAGCTCCAATCAATGGTGGGCAACTCATTCGGCACCACTTGAGTCTCGAGGTAGGGCGCATCTGATGGTGTAGAGGCTGCACAGTGGCAGAAATGAAGCACACCACCGGAGAAAGCAGGGTTTTCATGGGAAAAAGATAAAAAAGGAGAAGACGAAAGCGAAGGTAAGAGAGGCACTAGTGATTGGAGTAATGAACAATCACTAGAAGTTTTGATATGAAGAGTTTGAGAGCGTTCAGAAATATGAGAGAATGAGATAAAAGATTCTATATCTTCTTTATTCATGGAAAGTGAAAATACAAAACTGAATATGTAGAGGAACTACAACTTTTGCCGCCGTGCATTTAAAAAAAAAAAAAACAAAACAAGAAGAAGAAGAAGAACCTACCAACTACAAGAGTGAATGCTCCCAAGTAAATGCATACATCTACCACAACTTGACAAATTAATACATCAACTACTAACATTCAGACAACAGTCAACAACCACATTTTCAGTGCAGACTAGATTTTGAGCCCATACTTTATACGGAATTTGAGGTGAGTCACTATTTATGGCTTTAAAATAGCATGGCTTTCTATAAATATTTTTATATTGGGTATAGATACTATGCTTAGTGGGATAAGACTTATTTGTTGTTGTTGTATAGATATTATACTTAGACTGTATCATGCTTTAGGATGCTTCAGTTATAAGATGCCAGGTCTTCGTGTTGCAACAAGTCACCTAGAATGAAGAAAGGTACTGGAGTTAAATTGCGCCCCTGACCCAATTTATTTGAGCACAGTACTTAAGATCAAACCATCCTTTACTCAATCTCATTCTTTTGTGGCCTGAATTTACTCAATCTCATTCAAGGGAAACTTGTTGCATGCAATCAATCTCATGTTTATGAGAAATTATCCTTTTCTTTCTCTATGTAAATCTTCCTAAATCAAACTTACAAGAACAAATAAAGCATGTTTCATGGCTAATATGTAAAATAAAATGCATCATGACATCATATCCAGAACAGGTATGGTGAGTTAATATTTGCCAGCTCCCCTAAAGCAAAGTATCAACTATCAAGGATGTTAATTTCAAAACATATAAAAATATATCCTGATGACTTGAGCATAATTCTCAAGGATAAAAACTTACAGCGTTTGATGAGATGCTCCTGTGCTAAACTTTCTAGACGTTGCTTAAGGGCTTTGTTTTCCATGCTCAGGATAAGACGCTGTTGATTAAGAAATTCAACCTCAGCTGATACTTCAGACCCTTCTGCCTGTTGATTAACAAAGAATCAAAATCAGAACTTTCCAGCATAAAAGATGCAGGAATTTGAATGAATATTGCTTCAAAATCATTTAGAAACTTTTATCTTCTAGAACTTACCTGTAAAGCTTGTACATTTCTTTCCAGCTCAGCTATGTATTGTAGTTTACGGACCCGTGAACGTTGAGCAAATTGCCTGCATATAAGCATTTCAGATTTACTTTTTTCGCCTCATCATCATGAATTAATTCATGGTTTGCACGGAAGAAAGCTTAGAACACGGTAAGGGCAAAAGCCACCTAACAGGGCATAAGACACCCAGTATGACAATAACGGCACAATACCCCATCTACCCCCAAGAACAACAGCCCAAAACACTCTCAGCATCCACTGAGCCTTAAATAATGCCAAAATTCACCCTAATTCTTCAAACCAATATAAAAGGGAATGCTTTTTCTGCTACAAGTAAATTACTAAACCTTTACATCACATTGGCATCCGTTGAAATTTGTAATTTTACACAAGATGAAACATGTATGATAATATAGCTCTACATCAAGCACTCTTGTTGGGTAAATTTTAAAAAAGGTTAAGGATTGCTTGAAACAATAAAATGGGTGTGCTATAGGAAAGCATTCTGAATAGAAAAATTAGAAAGGAAACAGCAGTGGGGAGCAGATCAAGCCAGCTTGCAAGTCTTATATTAGTGATATAATTGAGCAAATTAGCGCAACAACCACAAATTCAGAAAGCACACAAAATTAGCACATACTGTTTAGCTCGTTTTGTATCGGTTTCAGAAGCATGTGCCTTCGCATGCGGACCATCCTTTTTTTCAAAAGTTACTTTTGTATCATGCGAGCTAGATTCTGCTGAATCCAGTTTTTCATTTGCATTTGATGGAGCCCCATCTGCTGCTTCACATGGTGTACTAGGTGATCCTGAACTCTGAAAGGCACCATTGTCCCTCCCAGAGGGAACACCACTTGGATGCGATACAGCATTTAAAAAAGAGTCCCATGCTCTATTGTTCTTTTTGGTTGACTTGATTTCTGCATACATTGGTAAATGACCAGTATCTTTACCATAATCAAAGTCCTGGGATGCCCGAGATGGAATAGATTTTAAATTCTTATAATTCCACTCATCCTGATCTGTATAGCTAATGTTAGAAGAAACATTAGCCGTGTCTAGGTAAGCAAAAGAATCACTTGATGAACGCCGATGACCACCCTTACGGATTGGTGTATCTGGCTCATTAAGAAGATCATCAAGCCAAGAAGGTTGTTCCTCTATGACAAGGCTCTCAGATGAAGTCCGTTGATGGTGTGCGTTTCCCTCTCTAGGTTTCTGAACAACCTTGGAACCAATCGCAGTATTTGGGACATGATCGGCATATGCTCCAGAAATACTGGGAAATGGACTTTTAGGAGGGAGGAGAGCATGCTTTCCAGAATACATGAAATTTCTCATGCCTGACGAAGCCTTTGAATTAGCCATAGAATTAGAAATAATACCTGTCAAATAAGTAACCATGTGAATGCATTAGCTACTAACAAAGAAGTTATACGATTGTGTCTTCTGAATATGCCACTTCAAATTAAGATCTTCTAACAATAATTTCTTTGGGGGGAAAAAAGCCCATTGCTTAAAACACAAGATGATTCTGAGCGCTCTGTCTTTATTTCTCCATGGCCACCTAATTAAAAGATTCTACAATGGCATACATGTATGCCTACCAAGAATTAAAGAAGCAATAAATAAAGCAACGGAAACATGTACATGAGCATCCACTCATGTACACATATTTGAAAAACTATTAATCAGGACAAACCACATAACATCAAGAAAGCATTACAATTTACAAAAATAGCATCCAGTACCCTCAAGTCTTTTTCAAGAGATTATTATAGTAAATTATTTTAGAGAAATTACCATGGCAACAAGTAAAAGTAGATAACCCATTGACATAATGCTAAGAGCTACTTAGCACATGCCTCTATAGAGCATATGCTTCACTAAGAGAAAAGTCAGCATGATGCTTGCAGCTTATAGATCTCTCCTTTCACATTTTCTGTCACAAAAATTCTCAAAATTTTTCTGGGCATCTCATAATAATCAAAGTGTCTAGATTAAGTCATTAGCATCATGCTGAACACACAATTTTATTCGGTGGCACAGTTGACATGAAAATCCCAGATCAAAACAACAGTTCCTACTAAATCTTGAAAGGCTACTAATAGATGAATTGTTCACTACCAATGTAACAGAATACTCAAGTAAGAACCAAATAAATCACAAGGCTTTCGTGGAGAAGCAAAATCAAAACTCTCGGCAACCATAAGTGCAATTGAAAAGAATCTTACAACACAAAGCTCAGCTTCCAGGTCTAGAAAATTTATAAGGGAGAAGTAAAGTTGCTCTCAGACACCCAAAGATTCTTTCTATTCTTTCTCCATGTCCCAGATCAGGAAAAATTAAAGATCAAAACTTCATTTTGCTGCTTTTCCCAGGCCATCTATCTAGAGCAATAATTTTCACAACAGACAACAGCATGCATTCAGAAGACAATAGAGGAAATTCCGAAATATGGAAATTACTGCTTGCAAGGACCATACGCTGCAATGTATGAGACTGAGGCATCAACCAAAGAAATTTTTTTATAAGTTTAGAAAATTGAGCATGAAAATCGGAAACTGACTGTCCTGCAACCAACCATCCGAAGGCAATTTCGTATTTGATAATCCAACAAAAGAAAGAGACCCACCTTTTGCAGATTGAAGATTCCAGATCGCTAAATGCAATGCAAAAAAGGCTTCAAAACAAAGCAACCTTTCTCTCTCCTAGGGTTCGCTTGCCCCCTTAGTAGTTGTAAACCAAGCTAGCTCTCGCTCGCTCTCTCCCTCCCTCCGCCCCAGTACTTAGTACCCTCTCTCTCTTCTCGTTGAAGCTGCCTGAGGCTGAGGCTGAGGCTGAGGCTGAATAGGAGACCCAAGACAAGTAATATTGCTTCCAAGTCCTCAACTTTTCTCTATTTTCACAACTTGGCCACATTATTATCGCATATTCCATCATTGAAAGACTTAGCACATTATCCTGCCTGTGATTACATCTCAGCACAGAAAAGGGCATTTTCCGTACATTTATATTTTTATTTTTTTAGATGATTATTTTTAAAATTAAAAATTTAAAGAAAAAATATTTTTAAGAGTGGTTTAATATTTTCACAGCCAACTAATTTAAATTCGGGAGACGCTTGAACCCAAAACTTTTATCCTAGTCAATCTAAATAGTTTTAAATTTTATTAACTTTACCATGATATTTTATCTATTAATTTATATTTTATGCAAATTTCATTTTTGAAATCCTATTTATCTTGTTACTCCAATGTTCGGAGTATATTTTAATTGGAATTTTGTATTATTTCAGACAATGATACTTTATTTATTCATACTTTCATTGTAAGAAAGTACTATTATTATTTTTTTATAATTATTTTCAGTGTACTCAAATGTTAAATACTGTAATGGAGGCTTTAAACTTTCAAGCAACTGGATTCCCTGCTATATATGAGATGATTTTAGAAAAGTTTAATTCTGAATTAAAATTTTGTTACAACTTAAATTTTTACTCATTTTTTATTTTTCGGCATGCATTTTTTTTAAAATCATAATTTAGTATTAACCTTCTTTATATTTCTTATATTTTGAATCTTTTATTATTTTATTATATGCAAGAGATAAAATAAATACAGTCTTTTAGAAGTAAGTTCTTTAAAATATGCAATTATCATTTAATAATGAGGAATTAAAAACTGTAAATTTAGAACAACTAAATTAAAATTAAAAAATTCAATTTTTATCTAAAAAAATAAGCACAAAATTAATTCAGGTTCGGTTACCAATAAATGAGTTTGAGGGTATCTTAAGTTTCCCTTTGTTGGTTATCTCATGCTTGTCCTATTCCTAATTTTGATAAATAATACTCCTCCGGTCCTAATTATAAGACCCAATTGACTTATTTGAAGAGATTAAGGAAGTAAGTTAAGTTGGTTATTTATAATAAATAAGTGTTGTTATTCCTAAAATATCCTTGCTAATTAAGTATATTGGCTAAAACTATCATTATTAGAAGGATTATCTTGGAAAAAAATGCATAAATATAAGAGAGAAAATGGATTGGGTCTTATAATTAGGACCAAATAAAAAGTCAAATTGGGTCTTATAATAAGAACCGGAAGAGTAGTTTTTTTCCCCAGATATTTGTAGTTTTAAAACGAGCCAAACTTCTTCGGTCAAAAAAAAAAAAGCCAAAATTGACTATGAAGTTAATGACCGAAAATTAATATATATATATATATATATATATATATTATGCAATGCTTTTGGCAAATACACTTTATGAATATCCTTATACAAAATTCTGAATATTTTGTTTCTGAAATGTATCAAATTAATCATATAATTGCAATGCGTTGACTTAAAATAAACTTCATATATGTGAGCATAATTTCATGTTTTCTCTATTTTTCGAAAGGATTCTGCATCTTTTAAAGTGTGAGTCTCACTTTCAATTAAGAAAATTATGAGTCTCATTAACAAGTAATAAAAATACTTTTATAGGAAGAAATATGGATGTTGGATTAAGGAAAAAGAAATTTTGATAATTTTGATCAAAACGGAAAGAAACGTCAGTCGCCCAATTGATTTGTCTTGTATTTTTTTAATTAAAAAATATTAAGGATGGTGTGATATTTTCCAGATATATAACTTTTTAAAATTTAAGAAACATATGTACAATATTTAATATGATATAATCTTTTTAATAGATAGCTAAATTGAATGAATAAAGTGGCAATTTAAAAAAGTGTATAAAAACCAACAGTAGCATGACTCATCAAGCAATAAAAATATGATGGAAATCACTTTTCTTAAATGACCACATCACTAATTTTAGAGGAGAAAATTAATTTCCAAGTTGTTATAAATTTACCTGATTTTTAAACAAGTTACGTAGTCTTTTTTATTTATTACGTTCTTATAATTTTTTCTAATTGTATGTTGTTTCAATTGAGGGGACATAGTTTTCTTCAATTCTAATGAGGTTTTTGCAGTCTTTTTCTTTAGCTCTTTGTAGTCTTTTAATTAGGTTTTTGTAGTTTTATTATGAGTCACCTAAAAAGGACCTGATCAAAAATTACACAAACATATATGGATTTGATTAAAAAAAACAATAAAGTGATTAAAATTAGGTGAAATATAAGAAAGCTGATTGAAAATCAAATAATTCTATAGGGACTTGCAGATTAATTTTTTCATTTTAGACTATTATATTAAATTTGATAGTTTTTAAAATCATAGGTTAACTTTTATTAAAAGTTAATTTCAGCAGCCCATAACCATAATAAAAATATAGTATGATGAAACATAGTTAATATAACAAGTCCAAATAAGAGAGGATGTAAGTAGAGACCCAATTTAAAGTTCAAACTGTCATGATATGAAACACAAAAAATATTTTGAGAAAATTATTTGTATGGTCAAAAGGAAGGAAGTGCAAGGCTAAGCCAAAGCCTTCTTAAGATTAAAGCATGTGATGTAATCAAAGGAAAAAGAAAGAAAATAAAGGAGGGAATTTATAAAATATAGATATTATGCACAACACTTTTTGGTGTAATTTTTTAATTAATTATTTGATGCAAAAAATATTTTTTGGATGTAAAGTTGGAGAATGGTGTGAGCTGTTGGTCTAACAATTAGCATAAAAAGGTGAAAAAAATGAGGAGAGGGTGGGGGCAAGGAGACAAATAAAAATAGAGAAAAGGGACAAATAGTAGTTGCCATTGGTTTGAAGGCAGGGCATGTCCCAATTGCATGCCCTGTTGTTGGACTGAGGTTTTGTACTGTTTTGCTTCTTTTGGGATTTGATTCCTGCAGTTTAGATTTTGTCAAATTTTTGTTCCTTCTTAATATTTAGGTGTAAGAATTAGTTGACAAATTTGTTTTCATGGTAAACATAAAAAATAATTGAATAATTTATTCTGACTTCAAATATAATATTTAAATTTTATTTTGGTAAAAATTTTGTTTTTCTCTTAAATTTATTAATAATTCTTTAAATTATTCTTATTAATTGCATTTATTAAGAAGATTTTTGTCATTAGGGTTTTTCAGAGAAATAAGAAACCAACACATAGTTGTTATAAATAACTAATTTAAATAATTTTCTTAATATCTATAAATTAATCATCTAAAATTTTCATTTGGAATAAAAAAATAATTTTTGTAAGATTGGCTTTGATATTGAATAACTGTCAATAGTTGAATTAGACTATAATCCAGATGTTGTCATATTTTTTATACCCAAAACCATTGCCTTTGATATTGAACATAACCACACACAAAAAAATACTACCCCACTAATATTAAAACATGGTTATTCTTCTTAAATGTGTCGCAAATTAATTTTTCTCTTTAAAGATGCCTTTATTTATATACATAAATTTCAAATTAAAATATAAATTATCCAAATAAGATTTATACACACTGGATATCCCTCAACATGTGTTAAGTCGATCACCATCACTGGCAATATCAAGGCGAGAACAAGAGGCAAGGAAGAGGACATGGAGGACTGAATAATAGGGAAAGAGGACATGGAGGACTGAATAATAGGGAAAGAGGACAAAAGGGGTGCACATCATGTTTTGTCCTTTTTTCCCCTCGAAGGGGGTCAAAAGTGGTATTTCACATAGAAAAGGGTCGTTGCTGAGCTGGATTAAAATAAAAAGAGGTAAGTGGTTGCAGTTGAAGTTGAGAGCGTCCCAATTTCCAACTCAAATAACTAATTTCTTAGCTGGGGAAGCTACGGATCAAAGGACCACTTCCTCACGCGCACTTATTATTATTATTCTCTTCTCTTCTTCATTGGCTCCCAACCAAAAAAATCTACCAACCCTACGAGATAAAGTCTCACCTATTGATCTCAACATCATTACAAAGTGAAGTGGAAGAAGATCCCACAAAAAATAATACTCACAAACATATTAATACCGGTCTCAAACTAAATCTCTAAAAGTAACGGGTCGTATTGCCAGTGAGACAACTAGCCGTTGATAAAAGAAAATAAATTTATTGTCTCTTAAATTTATTATTTCTAATTTCCCCTAAAACCTTCTTATTAATTACATATATTAAGAGAGTTTTTTGTCGAGATAACAGTTTTTAATGGAAATGATTAAAAAGAATGATTTACAAAAATCATTAGATCTTTTTTTTTTTTTTACATATAACTAATTTATCTAATTTTCTCAATTTTTATGAATTAGTTATCTAATTCTAATGTGTAGGGCGGGGAGGAATTTTATACAAGTGTTATACAATTTTAACGTTTTAAAAAGTATTGCTAACTTTATGCCTCATGCCTTTTAATATCGGTCCTAATTTATAAGTAAAATCTGTTCATGGGTGTAAAAGTTAGGTTCACAATTTTGTTTTTGCTTTTTTTCTGCTTTATCACGCAATGAATTTTAAAGGATTCTGGAAGAGCATATGTTCATGTATGTTAAAAAGAAAAGAAAACGAAGAGGAAGAAAATGATTTTTCCAGATATTTGGATTCCCATGACTTTGTCTCTTTGCTAGCATAATGTTATACATCCTTAAGATATTTTTATAACTATGCAATTGTATGTCCAATTGCCATGAAAATCAAATGATTATGAAAATAAATTGATTCAAATTGATTTTAATTTTCTCCTGACAAAATTAAGTGAATTAGATCTTAAAGACTTACGAACATGAAAGAGTACTTATAAAGATATTTATAAATTACTTATTAATAAAATTATGATATTAACAGAAGAGCTGAACTTAGGACTTTGTTTAATCAATCAATTGTAGTGTTATTCTTGTACGATCAATTTATTTTGTCATTTATTTAACCGATTTTTTAACCAATCAAACTATATGAAGAACCAATATAATAATTTTTGGATCGAATCGAACTGTCCTCCACATAATATTTTGTATACTTTCGTACAATTTTCTTCTTTTTTATTTTATTTTCCAAAGAAATATCTCAAACGATGGATATTGCTTTCTCCAAACTTTGAAAGAGATCATCAATTGATTCCCACACACATAAAATAACAAAAATAATCCAAACTTTTTAAAAAATTTGTTTTGATGAAAGCACTAAACAACTAAGAGACAACGTGCAAATTAATGGATCATCACTCCCTAAGATTCAATTCTTTTTGTGGGAGAGAATAATATTAAAGAAACAAACAAAATATTTAGAGAGAGAGAGAGAGGATCAATTACTTTGAGTGTATCAATTTGTGATAAAGAAGCAAGTTGACAAGTTGGCCTGGCTATCTGCAAACAATTTTTTATATGCTCCACAAAATATTACATTAGTATAATGCTTTGCTTTCCCACCATTACCCCACCACTCTCTTTTAAGGGGAAGAAAATAATAACAATACAATTTTCTTATCTATTTTCAAGTTTCATCACATGATTCGTTGAATTAATTTTAAAAATAAGCTAATATAATATTTGGTTTCTCAAAATTGCTGTCATTTTGGTTTTGGTCCCTCAAAGGGCAAAATGATCGATATTTTTATTGGATTATAGGGACTAGTGTTTTCAATGAAAAGAAACTTAAAGTACCAAAACATATAATTTAAAACTCGAGAGATTAAAATCAAAATGAAAGCAAATTTGAAAAACTAAAAATGTATTAACCCTTTAAAATTTAAAATTACTGCTCCCTTAGGTCTTATGTGTAAAAGCTTAATAATCAATTTATAGATATTAAAGAAATTAAGTAAATTGGTTATTTATAAAAGATGAAAATTCTTTTGATACGAGCAAACGGCTGGATAGTTTAGGAAAAAATGACTCATTTTAATCCTTTCTAACTTCTATGTTTTGGATAGAAGAGAGTAATTGTTTTAAAAAATTTCAATTGATGTTTCTTTATGTTTTTTTGGGTAACAATTCATTCAGTATCTAGTTTTATTGAATAATATCTCTAATGTAAATTTAGAATTATATGCAAATAGTTTTCTTAAATTTTAAATGATGTGATTATTTGATGCCTTGTATCAATTTTTTTTCCAAGTGTACAGATTTTTCTGTCAAATTCTTTTAAAAAAAAATTAACATGCACAAAATATTAAACATACTGGGCTTCATATATTGTTAATGATACGATCCAGATTCCTTGTCGATCTCATTATTCATGACTAAATTTGTCCGTCTCATAATATCTTCGTCTAGCATTTTGCCCTTACTCTGTTGAATTATTGATTCATTATTCTTGTGTGTATTTCCCCAAATTTTATGCAAATATAATGATAAATTGTTTATATATATATATATAAATCCTTTCGTACATAAGAATTCTCACTAGTAATTTTTTTTATGATTCATCAAAATATTTCTTATTTTAGAATTTCAATAAAGTAGTCATCTTTTTTTAAAAACTGTTTTAGTCTTCATTAGACATTAGTATGGAAGAAAGTATATAGAAAGCATTTTAAGTAAAGGGTAATTAATAAAATATCATTACATTTTACTGTAATCCAAGTCACCTGATGATTTTCTTGGCATGTGTAAAATACTCCGAAGTGACACTTTTTATGAATAGAAGGAGTTCTCTTTGTTTTTTTTTTTTTTTGTGGGTTATGGGAATAGATGTAATTTCTTTGGATTGCCTATGAATGTTTTTCTTTGCCATCCTTTTTGCTGCTAATTTATTAGAATTTAAATGTTGGGTGAAAATACATTACACTCCCTCTAATTTAAGAGTTGGATCTATTTAACCTTTTAAAAATTACCATAAATCTTCAACAATTTTCAAACGGTTACAACACGAATCTTTTAACATTTTTATCAAATCTCCAATTTTGAATCCTCCCAGGCTCCCACTATTTATGTAGGTTGAAATCAGTTCAAACAAATCCCAAGTGTCATCTCAAACTGGCCAACAAGAACACTTCATCATTCTCTTTGTACTTGTAGCTTTCTCCAATCATACGAAAATTTTAAAGGAAAAAAGAAAAGAAAAGAAGGGATAAGCAAAATCCAAAGAACTCATAATTCATCGAACATTATAATTCACTAAGGTTAACCGTAACAACAAAAACTAAAGAATCACTTAGAAAAGAAGAAGAAAACAAAATTTTTAGTCCTTGCTAATGTTACTTGATTTTGACTAATAGATAAAATTTTTGTTTCTCATATCTGACATTTAAGATCCCAATTTTAGTTTATCAGAATGAATATGTAGAACGACAAAGATTAGGTGCATGTAAACTTGTCCCAAAGTCGGATAATAAAACCACAAAATAAGACAAGAATAGAATCAAATGCTGGTTCATCCCAGACTCTGAAAACTTGATATCAACATGAGTAGGATTTATAAACGGTATGAACTTGCAGAATCTGCAGAGCAACAGAAAAGTATAGAGTCAAGTATGGCAAGGCCACATGTTCTAGTCATTCCTTACCCTGTCCAAGGACATGTGATTCCTTTAATGGAGCTTTCTCTATGCTTAGTTAAACATGGGATCAAAGTAAGCTTTGTAAACACCAAGTATAATCATGAGAGGATCACGAGTTCATTTGCAGAGGGAAGTGACATAGGATCAAAAATTAGTCTGGTGTGGATAGCTGATGGGTCAGATTCTGCAGAGAAGGCAAAAAAGCCGGTGTCCACTGGAGAAGTCTTGAGACACATGCCTGGGAAAGTTGAAGAGCTCATTGATTGTTTGATTAATGGTTCAGAAAGTGAGAAGATAAGCTGTGTTCTTGCTGATCAAAGCATTGGATGGGCCCTTGATATTGCCAAGAAGAAAGGAATTACACGAGCAGCCTTCTGTCCTGCAGCAGCAGCACAGTTGGTGCATGGATTGAGCATCCCAAAGTTGATTGAGAATGGAATCATTGACAAAAATGGTTAGTTCATGGTACTTCACTTGATTATTTAGAACATAATAACTTGTTGATTATGATGTTTTCCCATTCAAAATTTGCAGGAACACCATTGAGAAAAGAGACCATTCAACTATCACCTTCAATGCCTAGCCTTAGTACTGAAAACCTCGCCTGGCTTAATGTTGGGAACCTGACCACTCAGAAGCATATTTTTGAACTGATGATGAGGAACATTAAGTCTATGCAGCTCACTGAATGGCTTCTCTGCAATTCAAGTAATGTCCTTGAGCAATCTGCATTTACTTTGTCTCCAAATATCATACCCATAGGCCCACTTCTGACAAGCAATGCTTCAGGAAACTCAGTGGGCAATTTCTGGCCCCAAGACCTCACTATTATGAACTGGCTAGATCAGCAGTCACCTAGTTCAGTTATTTATGTTGCGTTTGGAAGTTTCAGAACTATGAGTCCAACCCAGTTCCGAGAACTGGCTTTAGGGCTTGAACTTTCCAACAGACCTTTTATCTGGGTTGCACAACCGGACTTCAGACAAGGGAACAATAATGAATACCCTCAAGGATTCGAAGACAGAGTTGGTGATCGTGGTCAAATGGTTGGTTGGGCTCCGCAGAAGAAGATTCTGAGTCATGCTTCAGTTGCTTGCTTCATAAGTCATTGTGGTTGGAACTCCACCATGGAAAGTGTAAGCAATGGAATTCCCATTCTTTGCTGGCCTCACTTTGCAGATCAGTTCCTGAATAAGAGCTATGTCTGTGATGTTTGGAATGTGGGAATGGGATTTGAGACAGATGAAAGGGGCATAATCACAAGCAATGAAATTAGAGGCAAAATTGAGCAACTCTTGAATGATGAGGATTTGAAGGAGAGGGCAAAACATCTCAAGGAAAAAGTTCTAAGTGGAATCAGAGAAGGTGGTAAATCTCGCAATAATCTAGATGGTTTTGTCAAGTGGATCAAAATGAAGAATTAGATCTACGAAGTGTTGCAATGATGTTAAACTTCTCAGCCTACCTTATAAAATAAATGAACAAGAATCTAAATCCATAGCCCCTGAAAGGTGTTTCTCAACCACCTTTCACAACTACTTTTTTTTCCTTATGGGTGCTTGCAATAAGCATTGTTAAGTTTAGAATCTATAAACAGCAATACGATTTGTTGTGTGGTTTTAGAGAAGATGGAAATTGTAATAAGCATTGGTAGTTTTAGAATCTATAAACAGCAATACGATTTGTTGTGTGGTTTTAGAGAAGATGTAATCAAACTAGTTGCATTCTAGCCTGATCCATCTTCCCTGATGGTACTTGAATTTAACTATGGCAATAAAGTCAAAAAAAATTTAACTAAGAGAAGTTTGATACTTGAATAAGAGAGGATTCTCTTGTACGAAACTATTACTATTTATATTTGGGTTAATCGACTAAGATATATAATTAAATTTATAATCATTTTTGTTGATTATCTATAATTTCTTTATATATTTATGTTAGTAAGATGAAAATTTAAAAAAAAAAAAACCAAGCTTTTTTTAAAGGCCAATAGCACAGTTGTTAAAATTGAAGTATCAATATGTGGCTGGTACATTGGCATTGCTTCTTTCGTCTCCTCCTCTGTTTTGTTGTGGCCCACATAAATTTTCAATTCTTTTTCTCAAATTACACTGTTTCTTTTGTTTGTCCTTATGCTCAATTCCCATTAAAGAATTGATTTCCGTGCAAATCAGCATGCCAATAGCAAATATTAATCATTAGACTTTCATCAAAAGAAACAAATAAACCCAAGATACATCTATGAAGACAAAGCCAATAGCTATTAAGGGACAATGTTTACAAAAACAAGGATTAAATTGTTTTCTCAGGCGTATCATAAAAATGTAGTAGTATATATACGACTTGGAAGTCTTGCAATTCTTGCACGAGCATTAAGTGGAAAGAATAATCATCATTATAAGAAGCTACTTGTTCACATAGAGGAGAACAGTAAGATCTGGTTTTGAGTTAAACAATGAGTAGAGCACATATTTTGGCTTTGCCTTATCCAGAACAAGGCCACGTCAAGCCTCTTATGGAGTTTTCATGTGAGCTAGTCAAACATGGCATCAAAGTCATATTTGTGAACACTGATTTCAATCACAAGAAATCGCGAAAGCTCATGAAGCAAGAGGTGAAGATCAAGACCAGGTGGGGAAGGAGGTTAAACTAGTCTCAATCCCAGATGGGTTGGGACAAGATGAAGATAGAAACTGTCTGGAAAAATTGACAGTGTCAATCTGTGAAGTAATGCCAAAGAAGCTGAAAAAGCTGATACGAGAGATAAATGAAGAATCAGAGAGTGAAAATATCAGTTGTGTTGTTGCAGATGGGAGCATGGGATGGGCACTTGAAGTTGCAGAAAAGATGGGAATCCAAAGAGCTTCATTCTGGCCTGCTTCAGCTTCACTCTTGGCCTTGTCTTTCAGCAAAACTGCTTGATGATGGAATCATTGATACTGATGGTGAGACAATTAATTGCCCTTCATCTAATCATTTAAATATTTTGAATATATATAAACTAACTTTTATATTGATACCAAATCTCTTTTACAAGTGTTGGGCATTATAATTAAATTAACCAACAGTGACTATAACTTGTCCAAAATGATTTCTGATTTCCAACTCAGGAACACCAGCAAAAGATGAGATTATTCGTGTGGGGCCAAATATGCCTGCTATGAGGACAAAACATTTTGTGTGGACACAAATTAGTGATGACTTTGAATGCACAAAAAATTGTGCTCAACTATGAGAAACAACAAAGCTGTAGAAGTTGCAGAGTGGGTGATCTGCAACTCGGCTCCTGAACTTGAGCCTTCAGCATTTGCTTTTGCTCCAAATATTCTTCCTATTGGTCCACTCCAAGCAAGCAAGAGCAACGATGTTCATCATTTAGCAGGATCGTTTTGGCCAGAAGACTCAACTTGTTTAAAGTGGCTTGATCAACAACCAGATAAGTCGGTTATTTATGTTGCTTTTGGAAGTTTTACTATCTTTGATTTCCTCCAGTTGCAGGAACTAGCACTAGGACTTGAACTCTCAAACAAGCCATTTCTATGGGTTGTAAGATCAGATATCAACAATGAGGCAAACTATGCCTTCTTAAAAGCATTTGAGGACAGATTATCTTCTCATGGGAAGGTTGTTTGTTGGGCTCCTCCGCAGAAAGTTCTAAGGTGTCCTTCTATTGCTTGCTTCGTAAGCCATTGTGGTTGGAATTCTACCACAGAAGGGCTCATTAATGGAGTTCCTTTGTTGTGCTGGCCTTACTTTGCCGATCAGTTCCTTAATGAGACCTACATTTGTGATATTTGGAAGGTTGGCTTAAGGCTCGACCAACACGACAGAATCATTGGTCGAGAAGAAATAGCATCTAAGATTTAGCAAGTTCTCCTTGATGAGGGATTTAGAGCAACGGCTTTACAGCTGAAGGAAAAAGCCATTCAGTGTCAAAGAAGGTGGCAGTTCAGACAAATTTTTGAAACTTTGTTCACCATATGATACAGAAGAATGTCCCTTTAAACATACCAAATACTTGCACTGATATATCACTGTAAAAAAGCTCTAATGAACTTGTCAAGGGTGTGGAAGCTCATGGATTTTCTTTAACAGTATCCTAGTTTGTTTTTATTCGTTTTAGTTGTTTTGAGGTGCTTTTGTCGAATTAACCCAAGAGTCTAAGGCCACTGACGCCAATCCTTACATTCAACTTTCTAGTTTTTCTGTCACAAGTAAAAATTGAGTTCCTCTTTCCAAAACTAATAGTTCTCATAATCTACAATACTCGAGATCATTCTTCTTAACCATTATCAGCTTCAACTAACAAGCCAATGGTCGTTCTTTACAGTGAATACACACAATTGAACATTAAAGCAAAAACAAATGTCAATTTATGAAGAACATAAAGCCCAAGAAGTATAAAGGAGAGCAGGATTCAATAGCTTTCCACACAATCTCACAAAATATCGTTATAAACCGATATCTTGTTGATTTCCATGATATGTACACGGGTTTCTAGCCTAAACACGGTGCAATATATGTTAAGTTCATGACAGAACTAAATAGATCAGAGTCACAAAGCATATTTACTTCTTCTGTTAACTGCCCTCATTCTTTATGCCATTTGGCAGTGTAGGAATGAATTAACTTTCGAGACCTCTCAAATTAGCCCTACGATTCATTATAGTCAAGTTATCATTGTCAACTAGGAATTCTGAGAAATTACGTCTCAGAATCTCCAATAGAGATATATATTTCCGTCCAAAAGAAAATTACGTGTTGAGCATAATATAAGGGATGTTTAGGGAAAATAATTTTGGAATGGAGAACTTACACAATATGCTCACTAGTTCTTCACGCCAACCATAATGTAATATTCCTCCTCTCCTTAATGTAAGACCTATTTAATTAATTTAATTAAATTAAGAAAGTTAGATAAGTTAATTAATTATAAAAAATATGACATGTTTTTCTTAATATACTATAATTATTTTCTTTAATATTCTCCCTCTCTCTCCTACTTGATTATCATTAAAAAAGTATCCATAAGAATAATTTAAAAAAAATTAAAAAATATACCGTATATTTAGAACCATCATCAAGGGAGGAGTACAAGCTAAGTCTGAAAAGAAACCAAAGAGATCAGTGGCGGCATTATTTCAAAGAGAAAGAATTGATACACAATTATCACGGTACATAAAATAGATTATCTTGAAGGATTTGCACGTAGGAAAGCTAATTCCACATCCAATTGTTTCCAATCACGTTTTATGTAACTGGAGCATCGACGAAGACGTTATAATTACTAGTATTCTTTATTCAACATCAGTCAATCCCCTGATGTAGCCCCTTTTTCAAAAGGAAAATATCAAATTTTGTACCGCTGGGAAGTATTTACCTCTCATAATTCCTGGAAATGTTTCCGCAAAATGTCAGAATTCAGAATCAAACAATGAGTAGAGCACATGTTTTGGTTTTACCCTTACCAATACAAGGCCATATTAATCCTCTTATGGAGCTTTCACTTGAATTGCGCAAACATGGCATCAAAATCACATTCGTGAACACGGACCTCAACCACAAGCGAATCATGAAAGCTATTCGGGCAACAAGGGGTGAAGAAGAAGGAGAAGAAGAGCGAGTGGGAAATTATCAGATTAAACTGGTATCAATCCCTGGAGGGCTACAACAAGAGGAAAACAAGGCTCGTCCTGTGGACAGATTAATGGATTCAGGGTGGCAAGTCATGCCAGAGAAGTTGGAGAAGCTGATCCAAGAGATAGATGAATCAGAGAGCGAAAAGATCAGTTGTATATTGGCAGATAAGGGTAGGGGATGGGCACTTGAAGCTGGAGAGAAGATGGAAATCAAACGGGCTGTGTTCTTTCCTGCTTCAGCTTCAAACTTGGCCTTGTTTCTCAGCATCCCAAAACTGCTTCATGATGGAATCATTGACAGTGATGGTGAGGCCATTTGCTTTGTTATTTTCTTTCGCATTTAGGAATCAGCATACGAAAATGATAATGAACACTTGATGAGAATTTAGCCTTCAATATTTAAAAAAGTCAAGGCACTAGTTATAGATCCTCATTTGAACTGTTTAAGATTTTGATCTGAAACTGTTTCAGACATAGCACCTAAACCTTTAACATTTATGTCTGACATCACAACTAAACTTTTCGTAAAGAAGATCATAAAAAATCATTTCACAAGCATTTGGCTTTTACTTACTATAGCTTAAGTGTCTGTATCTGCTAGTGCCCAAACAGAAATAAGGGAGAAACAACAATAAAACTGGATTTACTCACAATAATCTTCCTCCCAGAACAGAAAGAAGTTACAAAAGTAAGAAAAACACACCGAAAGAGAGAGATAAATGATGAAGAAAGGCTATCTTCCTCCACACCAAACTGGCATTCGAGAGGCCAGAGCTCTCCTCACTACTCTCAAATTACAAAAAAGCTCTTCTCACTACTCTCAAATTACACAACAAGTCCTACCCCTCTCAGGATACAACC